ATCTATTTTCTTTCTCTTGGTAAATTCCTAGGATTAGAAAGCCAGGAATAGGGACACCTGGGGGGCTCAGGTCATGATCCCAGGGTCCTGGGATCAAGCCCCACTTCGGGCTCTCTATTCAGCGGGGTGTCCGCTTCCCCCTCTCACTGTCTCTGCCTGCCTCTCTGCCTACTTGTGATCTCTGTCAAATAAATAAATAAAATCTTAAAAAAAAAAAGCTGGGATTACATGGTAATTGTATGTTTTACCTTTTTCTTTTTTTAAAAGATTTTATTTATTTATTTGTCAGAGAGAGAGAGAGAGAGTGAGCACAGGCAGACAGAGTGGCAGGCAGAGTGGTAGGCAGAGGCAGAGAGAGAAGTAGGCTCCCTGCTGAGCAAGGAACCTGATATGGGACTCTATTCCAGGACACTGGGATCATGACCTGAGCGGAAGGGAGCCACTCAACCAACTGAGCCACCCAGGCATCCCAACCTTTTTCTTTTTTAAAGATGTATTTATTTTTAGTTGAGAGAGAAAGCAGGGGAAGGGGCAGAGGGAGAGGGTGGGAAAAGAATCTTCAAACAGGGCATCTGGGTGGCTCAGTGGGTTAAGCCTCTGTCTTTGGCTCAGGTCATGATCCCAGGGTCCTGGGATTGAGACCTGCATTGGGCTCTCTGCTCAGCAGGGAGCCTGCTTCTCCCACCCCTCACCTGCCCCATTGTCTACTTGTGATCTCTGTCTGTCAAATAAATAAATAAATCTTTAAGAAAAAAAAAAAAAAAGAATCTTCAAACAGACTTCCTGCTGAGCATGGGGCCTGATGCACAGCTTGATCCTAGGATCCTGAAATTATGACCTGAGCTGAAATCAAGAGTCCAACACTTAACCTACTGAGACACCCACGTGGCCCTTTGTTTAACTTTTAAAGATACTGCCAAACTGTTTTCCAAAACAGTTTTAACACTTTAAATTCCCACTGCTAGCATGCTTACCAATACATGGTATGGTCAATCTTCTCAATTTTAGCCATTCTAATAGGTATGTGGTAGTATCTCAGTTTGCTTTTAATTTGCATTTCCCTAATGACTAGTGAGATAGAATATTTTTTCTTGTGATCATTTGCCATCTTTAGTACATGTTCTTTGGTAGTGTCTGCTGAATTCTTTTGCACCTTTTAAAAAATGGGTTGTTTTCTTATTGCTGAGTTTTGAGCATTCTTTATATACTCTATATACAAGTCCTTTATCAGATATTTGCTTTGTAAATATTATCTCCACATCTGAGATCTGTGGTTTGTCTTTTAGTTTCCTAATATGGTCCTTTGAAGAACAGCTTTTTAAAATTTTGATGAAGTCCAATTTATCAATTTTTTTTATGGATTGTGCTTTTGATCTTATATCTAAGGTCCAAGATTTTCTTTTGTTTTCTTCTAGACAGTTTTAGGTTTCACATTTAGATCTATGATCCATTTTGGGATGATTTTTATATACGGTGATATGGCACAATGTATGAACCTAAACTGATTTTCTTTTTTACATAGGTACCCCCCCAGAGATAAAACTATAATTCAAAAAATAAATTTCTTTCTGGGTGGTCATGGCCACTGAGGACCATTTCCAGATGCATCTCTTCTCTGTCAGGCTACTGGAAATTAATTTGATCTGTAGCTGAACTGTGCCTGGCTGTGTTATGGTTTTCATGTGATTCAGCTCATCACTGGCTTCAAATTTATAAGAGTGAGATCAGGACTTTATTTACAGCAGAGCCTGGGACCTGAAAGCTAACAAGATCCTAAAGAACAACCTGGGCTTCATAACCATGTCATCAGTTTTTAGCACTATAGGGTTATCTCTGCCAGTAGGTTTCTTTGTTCTTCAGTCTAGCTTCCTTCTGTGCTTAGAGATCTCCTTCAGTCTTACTGCCCATCCTCTGGCCTTTGGAGGGAAACTGTTCTTCTCTCCATAAAGGTCCAGAATGCCCATGGGGGTTTCTCCCAGCCCACCTGCTAAGTTTTCAGGCTTTGATAGTTGGAAGTCTGGAGTACTTGTGAGGACTCCTGACACATCTCCAGATTTTCATAGTTGGACACTGGAGTATAGGCTTTTTTTTTTTAAAGATTTTATTTATTTATTTGACGGTCAGAGATCACAAGTAACCAGAGAGGCAGGCAGAGAGAGAGGAGGAAGCAGGCTCTCTGCGGAGCAGAGAGCCCAATGTGGGGCTCGATCCCAGGACCTTGGGATCATGACCTGAGCCGAAGGCAGAGGCTTTAACCCACTGAGCCACCCAGGCGCCCCTGGAGTATAGGCTTTATGAGTGCTTGTCTCTCTCTTTCATAGTCCCTCCTTTGTCATCCCCATTCTAACCTCAGCAGCTTCTGAAGATGGTTCACTTTTCTTTGGGTGATCTAGGACTTTTTTCTCATAGCCACAATTGGTGCACCTTGCCTGAGTAAGGCTTAGCGCCCTACTAAGAAGAAGCCCTTCTAGACCATGTTGGAGGGCAAGAGCTGGGAATAACAGTAGTCTGTCAGGGGCCAAATTGTTAAGGGATAGACATCCCTATTCTGGAGCTGGAAGAAAGGGAGTCCTAGTCTGAAGTCCCATAGGATGTCAGTCACGGGTCACTATGCATCAGCATCCCAGCAATAGAGAAGACAGGCAGAAAATCTATTCCCCTTGACTAAGCTGCCCATATGTTTCAGCAACAACTGCTCTCCATACTGGTGAAAGGGACAACCTGTTAGCCTCCCCTCCAGAAGGACTAAGGCTTAGCAATAGCTATGATGAACAGGTTATTTTCTTGAGTTGTCTGGGTTGTCCAACTTCAGGAGGAAGTAGGGGTAAACAGGATAGATACTCCAGAGTGAATAAGTGTCCTTGGTCTCCTTAAACATAAAAGAAGAAGATGTTTATAGAAGACAGCAACATAATTTTCTGTCAAAGTGACCAAGTAGAACCTTAACTGGTAAAGCTCCGCTCAATGTCAAGGGTGCTTTCCTAAGGTGCTAAGACAGGATACCATTCAGAATATCGAATTATGAAACCCAGGTACTTGATAAATATTTTTTCTTTTCAACCTCACCTTACCATGAAGAGTTTGGCCATGGCTGAATTAGCACCAACAGAGTACATATTTGTCCAAGTAACCTCTCCAAAAGAAAGATTAAGAAACTGCACCCATCTGTATGATCCTGGCCAGTTATCCATCCTCTCTGAAGCTCAATTTCTTCCTGTATACACTAGAAGTACTAACGTTTGCTTTGTACTTTGTTAACTCATACCAGGAAGATTATGGCAAAGTTTAAACAGTCAAGAAGTGACAACTCCTTCTCTTCCCCACTCCAGCTCCCTCTCTTCTACAAACTATAAATATAAGTTATTATAAAATAACCAGAACAATTACACTGACATAAACTGAGCACATACCGTGAGTTACAGACTATTCTAAGTACTTATGTGTCTGATCTCATGAGTCTATGAATTTAATAACCTCTTGAGAAAAATTCCAGACTTTGAGTATATTATATGCCATGGAATTTACATATAACACTCTCCTGACCATCTGAATAAACCACAAATCCAAATAAACATGAATGAGATGAAAAGATTTTTATCACAGTTGACTCAATCTGATACTAGAATAAGAATGAGAGAAATCAGAGAAAATTTGTTACCCTCATGGCATCTATTTATTAAGTAATTTTAGAAATTTTTGAGGAAAAAAAAACAATAAGAAGATACAGCTGAAAACATAGCTGTTAAAAATTGATCATCATAAACGAGATTGGTATGGTATTGAAGAAGAGATAGACGCATAGATCAAGAACAGACTAGAGAACCAGAAACAGAAAGCAAATATACTCAGTTAATTTTTGACCAAGGAACAAAAGCAGTTCAACAGAGAAGGCATAGCCTTTTCAATAAGTGGTGTCAGAGTAATCAGACATCCATTAGCCAAAATAAATAAATAAGTAAATTTTAAAAAGAACACAACCCAAACCTCACACCTTATGCAAAAGCACACTCAAAGTGGATCACGAGCTAAATGTATAACTGGGAAACTCGTAGAAGAGAATATACAAGAAAATCTTTGAGACCTAGGACTAGGTAAAGAGTTCTTAGACTTAACACCAAAAGTGTAATTCGTAAGAGGAAAAATAGATGAATTGGACCTCATCAAAATAAAAACCTTTTCCTATCCCAAAGATCCCATTAAAAGGATGAAACGACAAATGAGAGACTGGGAGAAAATATTTGCAGATCATCTGCCACACAAAAGCTTTTTATCTAGAATATATTAAAAAAACCCTTCAAAATTCAACATCAAAAAATAATCCAATTAGAAAACTGGATATTGATACAGAAAAGACATTCATAGACATTTCACCAAAGAAAATGTACAGGTGGCAAATATACACATGAAAAGATTTTTTGACATTATTAGCCATTACAGAAATACACATTAAAACTACAATGAGATATGATTATATACATATAAGAATGGCAAAACTGGGGACATCTAGGTGGCTCAGTTGGTTGAGCATCTACCTTTGGCTCAGGTCATGATCCCAAGATCCTGCAACTGAGTCCGACATTGGGCTCCCTGTTCAGCGGGGAGCACATTTCTTCCTCTGCCTCTGCTCCCCACACCCACCCCTGCTGTGCTCTCTCTGTCTCTCAAAATAAATAGATAAAATCTTTTAAAAAATAATAAACTTTAAAAAAAGAATGGCAAAGCCCAAAAATAGTAATAATAGCAAATGCTGAAAAGGATGCAGAGAAACTCATTCACTTATACATTGCTTGTGGGAATATGAAATGTAACACCTATTTTGGAATATAGCCCAGCAATTCCTATCAAAATTAAAAATGGGTTTATCATACAATCCAGCAATCCACTCTTGGTATTTATCCCAGAGAAATGTCTTATTTCCACATTAGAACTTGTACATGAATGTTCATAGCAGCTTTATTCCTAATAGCAAAATCTGTGAGCTACCCAAATTTCTTTTCTAGGATGAATGGTTAAACAAGTTGTGGCATGTCTTACCCTATGGAACACTACTCAGTAATAAAAAAGGAGCAAATTATTGATACACACAACATAAGCTTGAAGGAACTTCAAGGAAATTATGCTGAATGAAAAGAGTCCATCTAAAAAGGATACATACTGGATGATCTCACTTATTGAAGGTTGGTGAAATAACCTAATAGTAGAGATGCAGAATAGAGTAGTAGTTGTCAAGGGTTTGAGATGGTAGGGAAGAGAGGGGTGTGGCTATAATGTGGTGACAGGAAAGGAGTCTTGTGGTGATGGGTACAGTTGAAAATCAGGGTTGTGGTGGTGACTGTCCAAGGGTCCTATGTGAGAAAACAGCATCGTGTTATACGCAATTAATGAACTGCTGAACACTACATCAAAATTAATGATGTATTATGTGTTGGCTAATTGAACATAATAAAAAAAATTCTTTCTGGAGTTAACAAAAAAAAAAAAAAAAAGAAAGAACTTAGCATCAGGCCGCACCCACAAACACAAGTACATGTATAACTGGTGAAATTTAAATAAGTTCTACAGATGGTATGAGTTTCAACAGCTTTGATGTCAGTGTTGTACTGTAGTTGTGCAAAGTGTGAACACTGGAGGAAGCTAGAGGACAAGTGCATGAAATTCGTCTGTTCCTTTGCATAGAGTTCCTCTGTATGTTCTTTGCAAACCCCTATTCATTTATAATTATCTCAAAATAAGGAGCTTTTTAAAAGCTACTATGAACCTTTAAAATACATGTAATTTATTTCTGATAAATAGGTTTGCAAGATATACTGAAAAGAGTTTTATATCTGTTAAATTTTCCTGAAATTAAAACCCACTTCCTTCTCTTCTTTCCATTGAAAATCTCTCAACAGAATTATTTTGACAATTTAGAAGCTGGTATGGATAAAACAGGCCAGTGAGAAGTATACTTCTGTGGTTTCCAGGTGTCCATAAATGGGCTGGACATTTTCTCATTTAGGAAAAAGAAAACAACAAGCTGGACATGAAGATGTAACTTTTATCTTTAAAGTTTTTCCTGTGCATAGTGCAGGTTGCTTGGACCTCAATATTGTTTCCATGCTTTATTTATTCTTTATTATTTTTTAACATTCCATTTATTTATTTGACAGAAAGAGAGTGCAGGAGCAGGAGGGAGAGGCAGAGGGAGAAACAGACTCCCTGCTAAGTGCCAAGTCTACCATGGGCTTGATCCGAGGACTTTGAGATCATGACCAGAGCCGAAGTCAGACACTTAACTAACTGACTGAGTCACCCAGGCATCCCTATTTTATTTTATGACAGTAAAAAAAACAACAGAGATGTTGCAAAAACATGATAGAATTGTCTTTAAAAAAGGAAGTTCTCTGCCTGCAAATCAAAGTATTATAATAAAAATGTTAATATTAATCAATATTATTACTATATTATTAATATATTAGTATTACACCCATTAATATTATTTTTTGGAAAGCAGATAAACTAATTCCAAGGTTCATACAGAAAAAATGAGCGGTGGTTTTTAAAATATATCTACAAATTCTTTAAGAAGTGGAGCTTAACTCCCGTCCTTGACAGACTTCTAGTGACCACGACAAAGTGACAGTGTGTCGTTTCTGAGACTGTCATTAATGCTATGTGGCCTCCTTCTTGCTTTTATTTTTTTTTAACATCACTTGCCCAGGAGGAAATCAACCACAACACTGTAAGGATGCTCAAAAAGGTCTATGGAGAGGTCTGTGTAGTGAAAAACTGTGAAGTCTTTTGCCAAAGCCCACTTGGAAGTAAATCCTTCGGCCCCCATCAAGCCTTCAGATGACTCCAGCCTCAGCTGACATCCTGACCACAACCTCACAAGAGATATTGCTCCAGAAGAACCCAGCTAAGCTGCCTTGAAGGTCCTCACCCACAAAAATGGGGCAATTAGTAGCTGTTTACCACTGAAGTCACTAAATTTGGGGGTAATCTGTTATACAACAATAGGTAACTAACCTGAAGAATAAGTAATAATAGTCATGAAATCTTAAAAACAAAGAATAATAAAAGGGAATTAACCTAATCATATAGTAAAACATATTCTAAAGCTTCATTAATTAGCACAGTATGTTACCAGCATATGAATGGGCATACAGATCAAAGAATTACAATATAAAGTTTATAAATACATACATTCATGTGAAAATGGAGTATATGGTAAAGGCAACGTTTCAAATTGATAGGAGGAAAGATGGCAACTGAAGAGCCATCTGGAAAAATAAGCTGGATCCATACTTTACAGTTTATAATAAAACTGAGTTATGGACAGATCAAATACTTAAATATTAAATATGAAGAAAGGATTAAGATAAATTATGGAGAATAAAAAACACTTCTGAGTGGAGATTCAAAAACCTTAAAAGAAAAGAGTGAAAAATTTGATCATACACACACTTTCTGCATGGCAAAAACATTGGGGACAAAGACAAAAGACAAACTGGAAAAATATTTGCTGTTCATACCCCAAATAAAGCACTTAACCTCCTAATTTATAAAGAGATTTTATGAATCAATAAGAAAAAGACTAACAACCCAATAAAAAATGAGTAACAAAAAATCATCAAAAAATGAAATATACATGGCTTTTAAACTTTGAAAAGATCCTTAATGACACTCAATACAAGAAACGTGAATTAAAACTAAAGAATGATACCACTTTTAATCACATTGTCATAGACAAAAAATCTTGATAAGACCCTATATTGGCAATGGTGTGGAGAAATGGACCCTCCTGTGCATTACTAGGGGGAAGAGTGAATTGATACAATCTCCGTAGGATAATTTTGGCAATTTTGTTATTTGTTCAAACTGTAAATATACTCTAGAGAGACTGGAACCTCCACCCACTGCTGGTAGGAATATAAAATGGTGTAATCATTTTGGAAAATAGTCTAGCAGTTCCTTAAGGTTAAACCTAGAGTTACCTTATGACCCAGAAATTCAACTCTCAGGTTTCATTTCAGGAGAAATGAAAACACACGTTCACACAGAAACTTGTACACAAATGTTCATAGCAGCATCATTTGTAATAGGCAAAAACTGGAAACAATTCAAATGCCCATCAATTGATGCATTTTATTTTATTTTAAAGATTTTTTAAATTTATTTGACGGAGAGAGAGGAGAAGCAGAGGAAGGAGCAGGAGAGGGAGAGGGAGAAGTAGGCTCCCCTCTGAGCTTCCTAGCCTGATGCAGGACTTGATCCCAGGACTCCGGGATCATGACCTGAGCCGAAGGCAGATGCTAACTGACTGAGCCACCCAGGTGCCCCAGTTGATGCATTTTAAATCAGTGTATATATGGAATATTAATTGTGTCTCAGTAAAGCTGTTACTTTTTTTTTTTTGAAGTAGGCAAAGAGAAAGACTTGCCACATATGGAAGGACAAAAGATGATGTCAAAATTATTGTCAAACACAATACAAACAATGAAGACATTGGAACAACATATTTCAACTCCTAAAAGTCAAAAATCGTCAATCTAGTATTCTAAATACAGAAATATATCTTTCAAAAATGAATGTGAAACATCACACTTCTAAATAATACTTGAGTCAGAAAAGAAGTCTCAAGAGAAATTTAAAAACAGTTTGAACTAAACAAAAATAAGAAATACACGGGCACCAGGGTGGCTTAGTTGGTTAGTCTGCCCTCAGCTCAGGTCATGATCCCAGGGTCCTGGGATGGAGTCCCTGGATTAGGCTCCCCGATCAGTAGGGAGTCTGCTTCTCCCTCTGCCTGCTGTCCCTTTCCCCTGCTGTGCTCTCTCTGACAAATAAATAAAATCTTTTAAGATTTTTTTTAAAAAGGAAAAAAATAGCTTATCAAAATTTATGGAATGTAGTGAAAACAGTGCTTAGAGAAAAATTTATGGCATTAAGCACATATATTAGGAGGGAGTATCTAATATAAAATATCTAAGCTCCCACCTTAGGAAACTAGAGAAAGAACAATTTAAGCCTGAAGTAAGCAGAGGGAAAAATACATAAATTAGAGCAGAAATCAATGGAATTGAAAACAAGGATACAATAGAGAAAATCAACAAAACCAAAATCAGGTTCTTTGAAAATGTCAATAAAATTGATAAACTTCTAGACTAACGAAGTAAAAGAGCAAGAAGACACAAATAACTAAATTCTGATACATGTGCTGATTAGTATAAGTACTGATACAAGAGTGAGCCTTGAAAACATTATGATAAGTAAAGAAACAAGTCACATGGGACGCCTGGGTAGCTCAGTCGGTTAAGCAGCTGCCTTCAGCTCAGGTCCAGATCCCAGTGCCCTGGGATCAAGTCCCACATCTGGCTCCTTGCTCGGCAGGGAGCCTGTTTCTCCTTCTGTCTCTGCCTGCCTCTCTGCCTGCCTGTGCGGGAGCTCTCTCTCTCTCTCTGACAAATAAATAAATAAAATCTTAAAAAAAAAAAAAAAAAAAGAAGCAAGTCACAGAACTGCATATTATATGATTCCATATCAAGTGTCCAGACCAGAGAAATATATTGAGAGATAGAAAGTAGATCAGTGGTTGTGTAGGTATGGGCAGGGAGAGATGTTAACAGATAGGTAGGTGATAGCTAGAAGGTATCTGGTTTCTTTCTTAGATGATGAAAATGTCCTGAAATCAGCTTTGGTGATGGATATACTTACCTGTGAATATATGAAAAACCACTGAGCATACACTTTAAAGGAGTAAATTTTAGTGTGAACTATATCCAATAAAACTGTCTTTTAAAAAAAAAAGCAAGGTGCAAAACATTATATGTAGCAGGTTAATATTTGTGTAAGAAAAGATGGGGGGGGTGACCAAATATTCAGCACAAAATGCTTACCTATGTGTAATATTTCAGGAAGGACTCAGGAAACTGAATATTCTTTTTGTCTGCGATAGAGAACTAATATCTGAGGCACACATTTCGAAGAAACTTTACATTGTATTATTCTTTTGCACTTTTTGACTTTAGTACCATGTACAATTTTTTGGGTTTTTTTGACAGACAGAGATCACGAGTAGGCAGAGAGGCAGGCAGAGAGAGAGAGAGAGACGGGAAAGCAGGCTTCCCGCCAAGCAGAGAGCCTGATGTGGGGCTCAATCCCAGGACCCCGGGATCATGACCTGAGCCGAAGGCAGAGGCTTTAACCCACTGAGCCACCCAGGCGCCCCCATGTACAGTTTTAATAGGCAGATTTACTAAAAGTTAATGAAGTTTAAACTTTGGGACCCCTCATTTACCTGGGCCCTTCATAAGGCCCTAGGAGGGACTCTAATAATATGTTTACATGGTCGTATGTTTTTGTAAAATTTGCAAAAAATGAGACATGTTAACTTCAAACAGTTAATCCTGCTGGTTCTTTCCACTCCAAATTCCCCTCCTTTCACTTCCCCTTTTATGTGATGTGTGGGGGAGGGAGAAGCAGGAATCTAGCTGTAAACATTTTGGGAATGTTGTTAAGGGAAAGTAGACTCAAGAGATACTTGTAGCTGGATTCTGTGGATAACCCTCACTTCCTGCAGTTAGATTATTGCTAGTTGATCTGGTGTTGGAAGTGACTTCCAGATATACTCTTATCATCCACTGCACCAGTGCATCTGGCAATGCAATAAGAAGGTGCAGGGATGGAAGTTATATTGCACAATGCACATGTCCTACCACACATGGCACCATAAGTATATGGGTAAGAGAAACAAGGTTTGAAACCAATAGTCACAAGACCATCTGGGAAATTTTTTCCCAGAGGTCAGAATACAGTTGTAACCAGAGGATTAGTCACATGCATGTCAAAATAGAAGCTCTTTGCTGTCAGAAATGGACCTAATGCTGCCAATATCATTCGTTATTTAAAATTTTTTTAGGGGGGCGCCTGGGTGGCTCAGTGGGTTAAAGCCTCTGCCTTCGGCTCAGGTCATGATCTCAGAGTCCTGGGATCGAGCCCCACATCGGGCTCTCTGCTCAGCGGGGAGCCTGCTTCCTCCTCTCTCTGCCTGCCTCTCTGCCTACTTGTAATCTCTGTCTGTCAAATAAATAAATAAATAAAATTTTTAAAAAAATTAATTAAAATTTTTTTAGAAAGTGATTTCTAGCCCTGGCGTCAAACTCTATAGTTGTTGCACCTGCAAAAGTTTAGATACATTTGCCTAAATATTTTCATATCACTCATAAATCGTTTCATTATATCTTTTTTATTTTAAAGTAATATATTCCCAAAAAAGCCATTCTGATTCCACGTTTGAGCTCACATTGGTATTGGTCCTCACACCGTCTTTCACCACTTCCATCCCCCAAATAGCTCATATCATAGATATCTGCTACAGTAAATGTTTGCTAGTAAAAACTAAAGTTTTAATATTGTGGCACAGGAGTGTCAAAATATTTGTAACAACATCTTGGTTTATTCCAGGCAAAGGAAGCAGCACGATGTAAATACACGGAGACTTTAAACAGCTCAATTCATTTAGTGAAATGCCAGTAGTTTACGTGGCTAGAGGGTAGGATGCAAAGGGGGCACAGGCAGAGAAGGTACTGAAATATAGGGGGGGTCAGACGATAAAGGGTTGGGCTAAGGAGTATCTGTTTTATCCTATAATATCCTTAATTTTACATGAGCATCAGGAGTTTCATGAGCCCCTGTGAAACTCCATGCAAAATAGTACATGTGCATAATGTACATTTTTTCTAGGGAGAGAGTCCATAATTTTCATTCATTGTTCAGTATTCCTAAAGGGTTATTATTATTCTTACTGCCATGAACAACCATGGAAGAGGAAGTGCGATTCATTCACTCAAGAACTTTTGTGTGGGTTTACTCATGTCAGATACGGCGCTTCCTTGGCTAAAGTGTGGATGATGGTTTGGAAAAGAGGAAGGGCTGGGATGCAGT